ACCCCATGACAAAGCAAGAGATAAAACAATGGCAGCCAAGTGCCCTCTGTCTATGAAATGTGGTGGCGAAATCACTTTCAGCAACCAAGTCAAGACTGAGGGATGGAAGGGGTCAGAGTGGCAACTTTTCTCTCCCCAAATCACATACAGCCCTTGCCTGGCCCTTGTGCCTGCCTTGGCACAGCTGTTGGTAGCTTTACAGCTGCCACTGCCTTTCTCTATGGGCAATGGTGAAAGGGACAGGCAGAAGACACAGAAGAAAAGTGAAGGTTCACAAGGTATGGACCTCTGAATAGATATGCCATAAGGACTGTTTTTTTCCTTGACCTCAGACTTAACTTCTAGCCACTGACAGGGAATCATTCTGAAGAAACTCAAATTAAGTGGAACAGTTTGGGTACTATCTACTGGTTGTCCCAGGTTCACATTTAGAGCACACGAGACAAGGAGTACAGCTCAGCCATGCCTCAGGGCCAATCAGCTTTTCAAGCCTTCTTTTCTTTTCTCCAGCCCCTCAGCATTGTCATCCTCCTCTTTAGCTTCTTTCCTCTTGAGCTTCCCCTGCTTCAACCAACCAATGGTTTCATCTGCTAAGGTTCAATAGTACCCACTCCAGAGATGGGCTCAGACCCCTCACAGGTCAAGCCAGGCAACTCAAAGAAGCAGTCAGCTGATGTCAGAGGAGGTGAGAGAGAAGGAAGGTGGTATCTTTCCTTGCTTCTTAGCCACAAAGCAAATGCATGTATGGTTTGAACATCATCTATGGCAGAACCTCTTAAATAGAAAAGGAAAAGACACCTACAAAGGATGCCAATTCCCCCTGCCCCCAATTTGCCTTGGGAAATGTTCAGTAGACAGCTGCTGCTGCTGCAGAATCTCCTGGACTTTATCAACACTGATACTGGACCTAGAAGACATGCAGGGAGAGAAGGACACGGCTTTTCATACGATAATTTAATTACAGACAGTAGAGAAGCCTTTAGAACGAAGAACACCAGCAACTCCTAGACATTTGTTTCGACATATATGAACAGTCCATCCAAGGTACTACTCTTCCATCTCTTTCTCCTGCTTGTGTAGCTTATGTGAAAGTCAACTCATTTTTCAGCAGAGGAAACAATTGATCGTTATTATTGTAATCAAACAATCTGGCCTCAACTGCCTTTTGGGGTTGAATTGGGGGTAAAAACTACATATGAATACAAATAAAAAATAAGGATCAGTCTTTCCTACCCCAAGAAATAAATAGTTCAGAGTTGATAGCTGAAACATTTCTTTAAGACAACTGCCAGAATTTACACCAGTCTTTCCAGGAATGCATGACAATATTTTAATAACAATCCAAGCATGGTGGATCCAAAATTCTTCAAAGAGGTTCAGAATATATTTTAGCAATGCATTAACATATTTCAAACTTACCTTCCCTCATCAAAAAAAGATAATTCAACCAATGCAAGAGCATAAACAAAGCACTTGAATTATTGTAGCTTCAGTTGCTGCATCTTCGTCATAGAAAGATAATCACCAACCCTTTTGTACATCTTTTGAGGTATCTGATAAACCTCAAGAATAATTCTCATGAGCTATTCTCGTTTTCAGAAAGCCAGTTGGTACAGCGGTTGTGGCATCAGGCTAGAATCCAGGGAACCCCTGCTTTAGGCACAAAGCCAGCTAAGTGACCTTGGAGCAGCCACACTTTCTCAGCCCTGGGAAGAAGGCAACAGCAAACCACTTCAGAAAAAAACTTGCCACAAAAATTGCAGGGACTTCTCCAGGCAATTGCTAGGAGTAAATAATAAAAACTGACTCAAAGGGTGCTCCCCTCAAAATCTTTTTAATTATTAAGAATTTTAACATTTTAAAAAAACTGAGAATTAGAGCAAGGTCTATGCATGAAAGCATAATTCAGTAACATTCCTTGGACATAATCCAGGTTAGGAAGCCTGCTCCTCCAAAAAGCCACATCATCGCCACAAATCAGTACACTGTATATTGATAGCCATTCGGGATCAGTGTAGCTACATACCCCACTTGCATTGTATTCTTAAAGAGTACCCTGTAAAACAAACTACTATAGATTGTGTTGAAAGGGTTTAGCCTTCCTCTTTACTAATGGGTCTTTTTCTAATCTGATGCTTTTCAAAAATTCCCAATTAGAACTGAAGCCACACTTCTTGTTAACAATGAATATTCCAGTGAAACAAATTGTATTTTCAAGCACAGGTCTCAATTTTGAAGTATTTTACATTTAACAAAAATGTTTTCGAAAGACTTATCATTCCAACTGGCGTAGTTCAGGGTTCAAATATTTAAAAATTTCTCATTCCATTTTATCATTTAAAAAAAAATCTTCAAAACTGGAATAAAGTTATTATATTAAACTTATTAGATATTGTTTTGGAGAAGTTAGGAAAAACAAATTGTGTCTTTTGAAAAGTGATATTTCATCTTATCTTCCAATTCCATCCTAATGTATTTTGCTGAATAACTAGAACTTGAGAAAAAGTTCGTAGTATATATTCTGCAAATAAAAGAAATACTGGTAGTCCTCGACTTACAACAGTTTGTTTAGTGACCATTCAGTTACAGCAGCACTGAAAAGTGACCTATGGCCATTTTTCATTGTTACGACCTTTGCAGCATCCCCATGGTCATGTGATCAAAATTCAGACTCTTGGCAACTGGTTCATACTTATGGCAGTTGCAGTGTCCCAGGGTCATGTGATCCCCTTTTGTGACCTTCTGACAAGCAAAGTCAATGGGGAAGCCAGGTTCACTTAACAACCAGGTTACTAACTTATCAACTGCAGTGATTTACTTAACAATTGTGGCAAAATAGGTCATAAAATGGGGCAAACTTAACAAATGTCTCACTTAATAACAGAAATTTTGGGTTGAATTGTGATCATAAGTTGAGGACTACCTGTAGAGTTTCTCTCTTTATTCCTTCAGTTTGTAAACTAATATGAAGTGCTAATACTAAGGTTTCTAAACAAATGCTTCAAACTGAAATGGCAGACAACATTAAAGCTATGGCAAAGGAAAATGAAAAATTGTTGTTTTAATATTAAAATATTAAGAATTCATAGAAAGATTCTTTTTAAAAAATCAGGCAGCGTGGGAGATTCCTTTTTAAAAAATACATTATCAAATATCACAATTGAAACTTCCATTTACATGGGGAAATTCAATATCCAGATCCGTGGATATAAAAAGAAAATTTACTATAAATCTATAGTCAGATCTATATGCCAAATATTTTTACTTCCTAAGGATATTATAAAAAACAGATAATATAAATAATTGATGCCATCAGCAAGTATTGCAAGCACAATTGGCAGAAGAAAGCTCAGGACCATATTGGTTGGAAACATGCGAAAGAAGCCTTCATCCTGCAGTGGATAGACAATGGCTAAGATGATGACGATGACGATTCACAAAACCTGTATATCAGGTAAGGGTAAAGTGATACATATACAGTATCATGTAGTCCAGTTAAAGCCAGGAGAGATTACAGTATGCCTTTCATAGAGTAAGAGCTATTTTACAATAATTTGCTACACTACTGCAAACATGAAAAGATTTGTTGCCAGAATAAATTGTCCATTGTCTAAATCCATATTTCAGTTTTTATATAAGAGTTGCATGGAAGACAGTACATTATTGGCACTGGAACTGATGATGTACCTAGTTTGGGTAATGAAACGTTTGAAAGAAAATAAGCAAGCTCAGAGAGCACAAAGGACTCCTCATTTCAAACATTAAAATATTCTCCTGTATCAGTATAATGCATTCCAAAATTGAGATTCTTGTATACTTTCAAAGGAGTTAATGCGAAATTATTTACAATAGTATAGCTTACTGTATTTTTACTTTTAGCAGTTAGGAACTACTGGAAGTAGGGTCTTCCTAATTAATTTAACAGTCCAAAAATGGTGCACTAAAGTATGGTCTTCTTGAAAAACATGGGTAAAATTAAAATCCTTCACAGAGGGATTATCTGTAAAACTTATATGTAATCTGTAAAATTTATATATAATTAATAAGAATAATAGTAGTAATAATTATGAATCTTGTAAATTATGGAAGCTATGAATTTTAATTTAATTTAAATAAAACACTTCTTAAAAGATTTGTCATTTTAAAAGTTTTCTTCCCAATTTTCAATTTCTCCTTAAAGAACCTCCTGTAAAATATAATCTTGTCCATTTACTTGGTGATGGTTATATCCTCCTCATAAGGGGGGAATCATTGGTGTTCTATTTTTCATCTCTATTCTGTTGTTGCTGTGTATCTAAAAAGATTAAAGCAGGAATATCCAAAAGCCACTCTTTGTCCATGGTAATTTCCTACAGTATTGTTTGTCCTGGAAAGTTCTGGGTCATTTGATATCATGATAAATTATGAAAATGCCTTTTCTGCCTTCTTTATATTGTTTTTGCCAGATAATTGCTGTTCATGCTGATCTTTAATAAACTTTAAAAAACAAGCTTTTTATTAGCTGAATTAAGTGGCAGGTTTGTTTTTTCTGATCTGTAGATGGGACTGTACTGGGTGCCAAAGAAACAAGAATTGATTCCCAGTAATTTTCCAACACTACGGACCAGGAAAGTAGTAGAAAAGTAATGTCTCTATAATTAAGGGAAGGAAAAAGTCAATCCTTGGCCTTGTGTCGTAAATGGGGGCATCAAAGACCATGAGTTTGGAGATGGCAGCAGTGGAATTAGTGGGTAAGGGACAGTGGTGGGATTCAAAAAAAATTTACTACCAGTTCTGTGGGTGTGGCTTAGTGGAGGTGGCAGGGGAAGGATACTGTAAAATCCCCATTCCCTCCCAACCCCACTAACCTGCTTTCCAGCTCCATTCTCCTGTGCAGGGCAACAAAAGAAGACCCAGCCAATCAGCTGGGATTCAAGAGGCAGAGAATAGATGGGGCAGGACCAGTCAGAGGTGGCATTCTGAACTACTCAAAATTTCCGCTACTGGTTCTCCAAAACTGGTCAGAACCTGTCATTACCACCTGGTCATTACCACCTCTGGTGAGGGAGTGGGCATTTTCCAAAATGGAAGGACCAGTCTCAAGAAGCCTTCCAAGACCAAAGTCATCTGATGCAGGATACCTCATGATACTGGCAAAGAATTATTTTATTTCAAATTTCTAGTCTTAGAATATAAAATTTAGAAATGACAGAATGGATTGCTAAATCTATATTATGCGGGATTACTTGATTATTAGTAGTTTTGTTTCTTTTTCTGGGGCTTTAGTGAGCTGCTTGTTCATTCAGGCCTAAAATTTACAACTTGCCTGAAGCGACACTGTATTTAATAGATAAATGTAGAGCAGAGGTAAGCCACAGATGAGGAGCTGCAATTATCGGTTATTGGCTAGTCATTGTTATTGGCTTGGTTTTTATTTCCATCCCTTTGGTATCTCTAGGTGAAACCAGGAAAGTTTCTGGTCTGAAAACATGAAGATCCACTGCCAGTTATTTCAAGTAGGTAATACTAATCTAGATAGATCAATGGTCCGATTTACTCTAAGGCAGTTTTCTATCACAGTGATGTCCAAACCAAGTCTCTTCCAAGCAGTTTGATTTAATTTCATCTGCACTGTCAAAAATTCAGCTCCAAAATGTCCCAGCTTCTTTCTAGGATCTTGACTCTCCTTCCATACCTAAGAAAGAAACCATTAGTTTGCGTGGTATATAGATGTAGATGTATGAATGGGAGGGGGTTTGTTTGCTTCTCTACTGGAGATAGGCAGTTTGCAAACCAAACGAACAATGTTTTGCTCCATTGTTGTCGTCTCCAGGAATAGCTACACAAAATTCAGGAGCAAAATGAAGACATTTGGCAATGTTACCATTTCTTTCAACTGCTAGCATGCATATTACTATTTACTTTTACCCCACCCTTCCCAAACTCCAAAATGTCTTGCTCCTTCTACTAACCGTGTCATGTCTTTTCTGTGTCTTTTGACCCAGAAAGGGAGAAAAAGGGCGAGTCTACTCTAAAAGAACATTTCCTGTGGTCTTATACATAATTTATGCTGGGAATTTCAGGGTGGCCATGCTCTCGAATGCAAGGAGCAAGAGAAAAAAAGGGGAACTCACCTTGCCCTTCTAGGAACTGTGCTCTGAGCTACTGCGGCGATGCTGATGGAGAGCAGAGAGACTGGAACTAGGTGAGTTAGATTTTCCATGCTGATAGAGGACAAAGTCAGAGAAATTGGAATCAACCAAATTAGTTTTTCGCTGTTGTCGGCTCCCTCGATCTGTAAAAAGGTCCCAGAGAGAGCTTTCTGGAGGAGTTGAGCCATCTTATCCTTTATTTATTTATCCTAAGTTGCCTCCTGCTTTCAGAAAGGTCCTGTGAGGAGGCAGATAAATTAGGAAACAGAGTTTCCCATTTTGTCCCACTGTGCTCTGCTGAGACCAAGCAAGTCTTGCCATCGATCTGTGATTCTGCCATGGGCTGTTAGAATAATTTGGAAGAAAAGGGAAAGAGCCACAGCCTAGATCACAGTCTGATAAATGAAGTCTGAGTCCAAAGCAGTGATTGGAATGGAGGAAATGTCTCAGAAGAGACCCCCCCTCTAATTCTCTGGAAAATAAAGGCAGGGGAAAGGGGGAGAACCTCCAGACTTACAAAATTCTGTTGCTATAACCTTACAAAAAAGAGTATTAGTACTCAGGGTATTAGTTTCCTGCCTGGACTATCTTGAAGGGCTGATTGACAGCCTTCAAGACTCCTTTCCTTTCTCTCGCATCTTTTCGGCTGCCATAGTAATGTGGGGAAGGTGAAATAATTGGATTTTGTGGGGGTGGGAAATGTGCTGGAGGTTTTAGAGAATGAACTGTATAACTTGGGGAAAACTTTATTGTTTATGCTTACTTGCTTGCTTACTGAGCAACCGCAGCTCTTTATCGAACTAGGCCAAGGTCAATGGCCAGATGTCTGCATCACCACCTGAAGACACCCCACATGACATTATACACATCTTCGATTGGATGGACCATTTGAACTATTGTGGGTGGGAACATTGCCATCACTTTATACATGTGTTTTTCACACATAAATCCTCAGATCTAGAATTCTTTTGATGCTACCACTTGATTTCCAGTAAAAGTTTCTTTTCTCTATAACAATGGAGTCTAAGAGTATCTTTCTTGGATTTTGAATGGAGCATCATCTGACACTGACAGATTCACCACAGAGGAATATTTAAGATAAATAATGTATATTAGTTTTTCCTTGGTAGGTACCCTAACACAGCCCAACTCTGTACTCCAAATAACTCCAGAAGTGATAAAATTGGGCTGCCTATAATTTCATTATTTGGGACTTTGATGCTTGTAGTTAAACATCACCTGGACTAAAAGTTTGAGAAAACACACTGAAGATTATTCTGAACCCTGAAGGATGGTGCCTCCTTGAAACAGGCCTAGTCTGGGTTTTCCATGTGTGCCTAAGATCCATTCCTGTATGCTTCTATTCAGAGGTGGAGTAACTAGGCCTACTCACCTTTCATTCTTGAAGAATTCCTCTTCTCACTCCATGTGCTGTTGTTCATAATGGAGTTGCGTAAAGTGTTGACGGCTGACCTGTATCAGAAGAAAGTCTTATGATTCCCTTTGCTACCGAAATAAAGTGACAGGAACAATATTTTCTTATATCCTTTGATAATATTGAAAATTAATTATGCAGGATGAAAGTGTAGCTCTGAAAACCTCACCTGGTTTCACCCTCATCTTATTTACAATCTCGTCCTCGGAGATCTAAAACAAGTATTTTGTAACATAGGAGCAATTATATAGATTTATTTTTTCTTTATTTATAATGGATTCAAACATGCTATCCTTTTATTTCCAGAGATAATAGATTGGTGTGAAATACAAGAATTTCCTTAGACTCAAATTTGAGTCTACTATATCTACTTATAAGAAAGATGTGGCACAGCTTTATAAGATTGACCTTCCAGGTGCAGAAAATTCAAGCCCCAAAGATTCCTACTCCAACATCCCATAAAATGAAAGAAGATGCCTGGTACCTTAGTCCACTGAAGGGAAAGATGTCAAATTCAAAAAATTCCTTCCGCTAGCTGAGACAGGAAGAAAGCCAACAAGAACTCCCAAGGAGCTGGTCTTACCAGATTTCATTCAGCTCTTCAGTTCCTGGTTTATGATCTTTCTCTTCTAGGGCATCATCCGAGATTTTACCCCTCAGTTGGGTCAGGAACTAGAGAAATATCAAATGTCAAATAAATACATTGGGATGCAAAACAGCCTATGTTGGATATCCAGGAGGTAACTCTCTTCTACAAAGTTATGGATGAATTGTTGAAATAACACCTATATCAGCCCAACTCCAAGGCTTGGGTACACAAACTACACAAGACCATGCAACAGGAGATAGAGAGTTGTGTAATCAGCCCTGCAATGTTGAGCTAAGAATCACTAAAAATACTTTTCTGCTCTTCAACTCACTTCCAATGAAGCAGGTCTCTTTGTCCAAATCCAACCTCCATTAAAGTGTTGCCACTGTCTTACTTTCAAAAAAGATTTGCTACAGTAGCTAGATGGATGGAACAACTTGCCAGAGCCAACTCACCACAGCCAATTTGCTGTGCCCACCTTGCCACAAGACAATTCGCGGTGGGACAAGAGTTACTATCAAAAATAGTGGAATAGAATCATTAAAGAAAAGATCCAAAGGAGGAATCAAATAAAATGTGAATGACAAAAATTAAAATATTTTAAAATTATTTTAAATAATTGAATTGAATTGTTGAATTGTTCTGCAGTGATATGTTCTGCAGTGACTTGGCCACGGTGAGTTCACTGTGGCGAGTTGTCCCATTCTGTTAAAATGAAGTACAGAAAGTGACAAGACATGCTTTAGTTTAACAATTATAATTGTAATTAAATATAGTAATAAAGTATATTATAGTATATTTAATTACATTAGCTGATGGTTTCTGAACTTCTTAAGATCATATAATTAAGGTTTAATCCTGCTCATCTTAAGAGCATTAGAAAATCCTGCTGAAATAGAGGAAGATACCACCTATATCAGAAGCTATTTTCCACATGTTCCTAAGAAATCCACTTACGGTAGGGTATAAAAAAAACTTCTCAATTTCCTTCATGGTGCAATTTAAAACCCACATAGCCAGGCTATCTGTGAGACTGCCTCTCCCTAAGGATATCTATCTATTATGTCCAATCAGATAGGGCATATTTCCTTCCCTTCCCCTAAATATTGCCATGTTATGGGATCTAGGAAGCATGACTTTTCCTTATCAAACCCTGCCCTCAGAAACGCCCTTCCCCTTGAAGCATAGCAGGCTTCTACCCTCCTAGCTTCCTGAAAAGCATTAAAGGTCTGACTTTTCAACAAGCAGTGGTACACATTTCAATAAGAGGATTTAGTGAGAATCTTGGAAATTTTAAGTTTGGCACCAAGTACTTAACAATTATATTGTTAAAAATTAAACAGATACATTATATTGCTTTATTATTGATATTGTTTTAATTTGTCAGATCTGACCTTCAGCTTCTATGCTTTGCTGGCATTATAAATTGTTAGGAGGGGAGGAGGGGACAATGGCATGTAAAGGATAAAGATAAGAGGGAAGAGGGGTGACAAGGCTTGACGGAAACCAGAGGTATGAGAACTGGCATATTCCAGTCTTCAAGGAAACCTAGCCTGGGAAAAGAATGTGAAATGTGAAACTCCACCTGGTGGCGTCAAACATCCAAGCTGTTCTCAAAACATCTATGCTGTTAGATAGTGATCGACTGGTCAAGCAGTGGGAGGGCCAGGGAGAAGGGGAAAATGTAATGTTTTATGCAGGAATCTCAGATCTAAGCTTTCTTTCAATGCAAACACCTAACTTTAGTAAAAGAACCTGTAGTTTCAACCAATGGAGTCAAGGGTCTTTCTTTCCTAGCAACCTGGGCTGGGCAGGCCTGACATAATTGTTGGGTGGGAGCTGCCTGGAGTTTGATATGGGTGGCTATAGAAATGTTTTAAATAAACATTTTTAAAAAAAATATTTATTGTGCCTTTGAGTCTGCTTTTGACTCCTGACAACTGCTTAGACTAGTCCCTGCAATTTTCTCAGCAAGATTTCAAAAACATTTTGCCATTGGCCTGCTTTCTGGGGCTGAGAGAAGGTAATGGGGCCATGGTCACCTGGCTGGTTTTGTGTTCAGGGCAAAACTAGAACGTATATTCTCCCACTTTCTAGCCTGGTGCCAGAAAATGGGAGACTGGGTCCCCTACTACACCAAACTGACTCTCTGGTTCCCCCCAATACCTTCCCCAAGTTAGAAATCCTGGATACTTGATTATTTTATGTACATGTGAATGCCATTCTTCCTTTCTTAGACAGGTTCTTTTTTCTTCCTTGTCTTGTTTTAATATCATTACCTCACTTGTGCCCATCTCTTCCCTGGCTGCTTGCCTTCACAACGACTGACTAGAACTCAGGAGGTGAATTCTCCTTCTGTGTGCTGTTTCTAATGTTTCTGATAAATCACATCTTATTGTGGAGCAAAAGTCAGGATAAAAATTTCCTAAAATATATATGCTGTCAGACAACCACTTATGGCAAATGAGTGAGAGAGATTTATGTTACTGTGCAATGAGCTGAGTATTTTAACTGATAAGAGTATGCACAATTTAATAATGGCTCCTAAAAAAAAATGCTAACATACAGCTCTTCTCATAAGGATTCCAACTCAAGAATGAAATTGAGTGGAGGAACTTACCTTGGTGCACTTCATTTGATTCTCTTGCATTTTCTTAACGCTGACAAGGTTTCTAGTGATATCGACCTCCTGGTCCTCTAAGATAAGAACCAAGAACACCCAATCAGGATTACTCCCATCATCATCTTTTAAACTCTCTCTTCTAACTTCTGTGAAGCACCAGGCATACATGGCTTCCTTTTAGCCTCTGGCTCTGCTGCAAACATTTCCTTTAAGACCTTGCCTTCAGTGGAAAACACTCACATCTTCCTTAGCAGAAAAATGAGCAAGAACAATATCAAAAGGGCATATTTACCACCAAAAAGGAGAACAGAGGGGACTGTATCTGACACTTAACATATGTGGAGTCCTTGGTGTTTCCTAACCAGTTGTTTGCTTGCAGATGTTTCATTACCCAACTAGATAACATCATCAGTATACTGATGCACTGATCATCAATGCACTGATGAAGTTAGCTATTCAGATATTGATAAGATGATAGGAGGTATGTTGCGATTACTTTTATTTTGGCAGAACATCAGTTGAATTATTGGATGACTCCATAAGTTACTGCTAGTTGGTTGTAGGGAAATAACCAAATAGTCTTTTTTATATCTCATATGAGCAAACAAGGCTAAGATACCTATTAAATTGAAACAGAAAATACTGCAGCATGAAATTAAATAATATTAAAATACTGTATAAGGAAAATCTTCCTAATTAATACAAGCAATTCAGCCATAAAGCCAGCTGCTTTGGAAGGCTACAGAAGCTTCCTTCTCAAAGATAGAAAATTCCTAGGGTATATGTTAGTGAACAACCCTTTCAGCAGGAGGAAGAAGAGTTGGGCTAAATACGGACAATAGCATACAGAACTTGCCCAGCCCTAGTCGAGTGCGGAGACACCCCCACTTTCTCTGTGCTTCAATGAGGGTTAACTAGGATGACCAAGATAGAAACTCAGGAGGCTAATCTTGACCTGACTCAAAAACTGATCAAGTTTGAACTTGCTTAGCATTTCAGTTGAAGTTTTCCAGGTAAGTTTAGAGCTCTAACTTAGACTGGGCATCTAGAATCCTGACATCTTCAGTAGTTCTTCCATTTGAAGGAGACATTGTCTTTTTACAAAGGAAATTGAATTTGTCTCCAAATTGACTGGATTAAGTCTATTGCAGAGAAAAATTCAGAAAATTTGGAGAGCCATGACAATACTGAATGTATGATAAATGGGCAAATACTGGTAGAGAAGAATCTACTACATGTTGGAAGTGACTATGAACAAAATATTGCAAGAAAATAACACTAGTACAGTAGCTACTTACTCAGTTTTTGATGGATGCGCCGCAGTTCACCCTGAACTGATTCCAACTCTTCCCAAAGGAATTTTTTGCTACCGGGGAAGAAAAAAACAGGATAGGAAGTTTTACACTGCAGTCCTGGAAATTCAAATCCTATGATGATTTATTATTAAGTAAAAACATAAAAAATCACTATTATCTAGCCTTTGGCAATATAAACATCTACACCAGTTTATTCTCCAAGACTTCTTCAGTCATAAGACCAGTGGAAAGATAATTATAGTAAAGATTGCAGAGATCCAGCCTATCTTAGCCATTTTTCTAGCTATCCAAAATCCACAAGACAGAGCTCGTTTCTTTTTCTGCCCACTGAGCTTTCTCCTACCTCTCAAGGACATCTTGAGATAGATTCTCCATTGAACTTTGTTTCTGGACCATGGAACTCTGAAGCCCTTCTACCTCTTTGGACATGGTTTTCCAAAGCTCTTGGATTTTTTTCTGTATTAGCTCATCAAACATCTCTCCACGGGATAAGTGGGCAGCAAATTTTACTTCCTCTGGAAGGATGGAAGATATGACATGTTCTTCAGTAATGGAGAGATATGGATGATATTCTGCATTCTTCATTTACCAGCTCTAATTCTATGAAGATGCTCCAGTACAATTCCTGAAATGGCACTCAAAACGGACCTGGGATTCCAAGATTTAACACCCTTAAAATTCTTCCAGACTGAGCTACACTGAAGATGTTAGAAAATGTTTTCAATTCCCTCAAATTCTGATTCTGCAAGCTGTTTAGGGATGGGGATTATATAACCTATCAGTCTTGCATCTGCTATGTTTTCATAACCAGAAGAATCAGAAATTCATAAGAACCAAGGTCTCTGTGGAATTTTGCATTCAGAAATTCCTAAAAGATTAATACTCCAGAGACCCTCTTTCCCTGAAAAATTTAAATGCAGGGAGAAGGGATCCATTAAATGCTTTAAAGCAGGATGTAACCTGATACGATGGAACTTGCAAATCCACAAAACACAATAGTATTCATATTTCTCACCTTCCAGTGCATTGATCCTACCCTGCTGATAGCTGCTCTCTTGCTCTAACAAAGTAATTGAGTGGCTCAGTGCTTGAAAAGCCTGGAAAGAAAATTTGGCACAAATGGGGTTCACATCAATAATGATACCAAGATGACAACATCTTCGGGTTTATGCCAGCTATGGTACATACCTCTGTTTGGGCATGAAGCTGAGCTCTGATAAGCTCCACATCATTTTTCAGTGCCAACTGGGACTCTGGAATTGAAGCTACAAGAGAGACAATTATTCACATAAAAAGAAAGAAAAGAAAAGAAACAATAGGAGAGGGACTGTAGGCACACTGGTGCGCTTATGCACGCCCCCTACAGACCTCTTAGGAAAGGGGTGAGGTCAATAGTAGGCAGTCTAAGGTTAAAGTTTTTGGGGTTTGGGGAAAAAAAACACAGTCAGGTAGAGTATTCCAGACATTGACCACTCTGTTGCTGAAGTCATATTTTCTGCAATCAAGTTTGGTGCGATTAACCTTGAGTTTGTATCTATTGTTTGCTCTTGTGTTGTTATGGTTGAAGCTGAAGTATTCATTGACTGGTAGGACACTGCAATGTATGATTTTATATACTATATTTAGATCAGACAGAAGGCGGCGTAGTTCTAGGTTTTTTTGGTCTAGAATTTCAAGTCTGGTGGCATAAGGTACTCTGCAACGAGTAGAGTGGAGAACTCTTCTTGTGAAATATTTCTGGACTTTCTCAACTGTGTTAATATCAGATACGTAATGTGTGTGTACAGTATTTTTGCATTCAGGTTAAAGGGAGCAGAAAAATAAGAGGAGGAGAAGAAAGAATGAGAGAGGTAGGAAAAGAGCAGGAAAGAAACTCATTTTAAGGAAAAAGTCCAATATCTGCCTCCCCCCTCCCGCCCCTTTACTTCATGACTACTCAGAGGAGATATGTTTGACCCAACATGTTACCTCCCTTTCAATTATAATATAAGTATTTTAAATAAATAAATTGGTAGATTTAGCAAAAGCTCAAGAAGGACCACGTCTCTTACCTTGTGGGTCCAACCCAGACAACTCCACCTAGAAAAGAAAACTCACATCAGTCATTTCCAAATAAAGCAACCAGCTCTCCAAAGGTGAGGACTCTTATGGCATATGCTGCTTACTTTCAACAAAACCCCTTCTCATAAAATGTAAGGCTGTGTTCCTTGACCCATACTTCTTTCATTCATACCTATTTGGGAATATTACCTGTTTGTTTGTTTTTACTAAGATCAGTATTCTCTTCATTGCTCTGCCTGAAAAAGAATTGGATCATCCTCTGTCAGAATTTCAGAAGTCAGAGGGTAAAAAACCAGGAGGAGTCTGGGAACACCTTTTTTGACTAAAAAATTCTATCAAATGGTATAAACTTTCATGAGCTGCAGCTCAATTCTCAACTGCATAGAGTGCTACCGGTATTTCTCAACCTTTACAACTGTAAGGTATGTGGATTTCAATTCCCAGAATTCCCAGGCCATCACAGTCCCCAACAAGTTACCCATTAAATTAGAATTGCCTTTGCATGCTCTTCTTCTAATATGCTATATGCCATCATCTGATAGCAATCAGGAGTGATATTCAGCAGGTTCTGACCAGTTCTGGAAAACCGGTAGCAGAAATTTTGAGTAGTTCAGAAAACCGGCAAATACCACTTCTGACTGGAGATTTTACAGTATTCTTCCCCTGCCACACCCACGGAGCCATGCCCACAGAACCGGTAATAAAAAAAAATTGAATCCCACCACTGATAGCAACGCCCATTTGGATTCTACACAGAAGAAAATTTGCATTTGCATTTTGACTCTATCATTAGCATACTTCTTTTTAAGCTCATGCATGCTTCTAAAACAATATACTTATTTTGGGCTGTAATAAGAGTAATCTGAATTTAAAATGGTTTCAAATCAGGATCCCGGATATTTAAGCCTCCACCTCACCACACTGTAATCCACAAGATAAACAATTAAAATCATTTTGATTTCAAGAGCATAAGTGAGGCTGTACACTCAGAGGCCTGATCATAGGTATGTATGGTTAGTTGACAATTTGGCAGGCTTTATCTTGAAGGAGTCAGTGTTTACCCCTAATGTCTCTTGAACAAAACACAAACACTATTTCCTTGCTACATCCTTGTGGTCCAACAAGATACCTACTGCTGATGTAGGGCTGCTTGCCCAAGCTAAGTACCGGTTAGGAGAGTTGATGTGATTCTGTTCATCCTTGGCAAATGTCATTGTAGTTGATCTCTAAGACAAAGAAACAGAAACCTTAATTTAGAAGCAGAAGCAAATATATGAGAGCAACCAACAATCTGGTTCAGGAAACTGAGGTTTGAAAATGGGAGTCTAGCCTTCTTCCAAATCCTTTATTTTGGAAGACCAGCACAAGGGTCTTGTTCCTTTCAAAGAGACAATAGCCTCAGATCAGAAGGGAAACTTGGCTAGGAAGCTTGAGAAATCTTGAGTTTGAGGTTCTATTCTTTTGCTTGTTTCAATTATTTCTTTTAACTTCCTTTACAAGCCTATTTCTGATTATCATCTTTTCTACTCTTGGGGCTGCTAAGTTTAGACTGCTTACAGGTTGGATTGCTTACTAGATTCAACTCCATTTTTGTGCTTGCAGCAGCTGTGCTGCATTGCTTTGAGAGGATGATCTCTGAGATTAACAGAAGGAGGGGAGATGATCAGCCCTTCCTCTCACCAAGAAGTGTGGGACGTTATCCACCTATTCTGCATATATAAAGGTAACCAAAGCAACTCATCTGAAGCTATTTTCTGTTTCCTAAAGTTGGGAAATAATATTCCAAAAGCCATATTCCTGTAGCCAGGGGTGGTGTTAGATATGGGCTAGATTGAAGAGGCAGGACAATCGGGAGAGGGAAAAGATCTCTATTCTGCTCTGAGTAAAAGACTGCCACCAGGTGTGCCTGCTGTTCTTTTTACAGGCTGCTGTCCACAACTTTAGCCACTGACGGCTGTTCATTTTCCCACCTGGAAAATGAACCAGTGGGGGAAGTCTGACATCACTGACTTTTCCCCATTGAATATCTTTACAGGGTGAGATGCTACTGGTTTGGCCCGGTTCTACAAAACTGGTAGCTGCGAACAGCAGCTGACACCAAACTGGTTCAGTGTTTGGCCCACCCGCCTGCCCAGGCTCTAGGCGAGTGTTGGCTAATCTTTTTGGGCTCCTGTATCAAAAATTGCAAGCGTGCCAGCACACCTGCACTCACATGCCAGGGCACCCACACTCACGTGCCAGCACCCAGAATGCAATGTGCACCCCCTCCTCACATCCCCTGCACATGTGCTCGCAATTCCCCACCCCCATCTCCTTACTTGCACTGTGCCTCACAGCTGATTTTTCAGCTGGTTTGAGGCCTTTTTCAGCCTCCCAGAGGCTTAGAAAAAGCCTCTGAAAGGCTTCTCAGACTGAATTATAGGCCCGTTTTGTCACTTCCAGTATTACAGGAAGTGATGAAATGGCCTATAATTCAGTCTGAGAAGCCTTGCAGAGGCTTTTTCCAAGCCTCTGGGAGGCCAAAAAGGCCTCAAAACAACTGGAAAAAAATCAGCTTTGAGGCGTGCATATGCCTGCAGCTCGCATGCTAGCATTGTGGCATGCGTGCCATAGGTTTGCCATCACGACTCTAGGCTGTCCTTTATTCCCTGCTTTTCCCTCCTCAGCTGTTTTACATGACACAGCTGAGGTTGAAAGAGCAGGAAAAAAGAGAATTTTCAAATGCTTGTGCTCCCACATGCAGCGCTTGTCAGCTGTCCAGGCAGCACAGCTGATGATTTCTTGCAAACGCTGCATACACATGTATTAGGACTGTCTGCAGTTCTGAGAACTAGCAAATTGCTCCACTGGCTGGTCCCACCTCTCCCCACCTACTTACTCCTTACCTGGAATGCGAGCAATCCAACTTGCCTGGTTGGGTAAATTGCTATTTTTCCTCCCCCCCCCCCAACCATCAGCTGTTCTGCTCTTCCAAGAGATTTAGATTAGCTAGAAAGCAGGAAATCCTTGGATTTCTTGCTTTCTGGCTAATCTAAAAGCAGAGCCGAACCTTCCTTAGGACTGAAGTTTCTACTTTTCAGTACAGACTCAGGTAGCCGATTGTACATAGATACATCTCTAAGTGATTCTGTGAGCAACTCAGTCTGCCTGCCTGCTTTGCCTGCTTTTGGGTAAAAGTTGCTCTTTTTTAATAAAAAATCAATATTTACATAAATATAATATTTACATACAAGCCATGCCCACCCAGTCACATGACCAAGCCATGCCCAGTCAGCAAGCCATGCCTACCCAGTCACATGACCACCAAGCCACACCCACAAATTAGGCCACACCCACAGAACCGGTTGTTAAGAAATTTGAATCCTACTCCTGCTTATAGCCATCAAAGTTGCACTATGTGTGTTTCTAAGTTTTAGTTTACACACAGACATACACACACATAGTGTAATTTTGATGGCTACAGGAATGTGTAATGTTTCTCACCACATAATTCTTGTCCCCAATTAGTAGCTTCCATTGTGCATAATTTCAAAAGTGACATGTTGTCTTTCTGTCTGGGTCTTTGGCCTTAGCAAAAATCTTTACAAGAAAAAAAATGGTGGTTTAAGACATCCTGAATCACTTCCTGACTGTGGTAGAAACAATCCGGCCACACTGTAAATGCCCATCCCTCCCCATTAGTCCCTGTAGACTTTAGAGGAATAATTATGTAGGGCACAATACTTTAATTTCACTTTAAAAATTTTTTAAAAACCTTGTTGAACTTAAACATGTATTATTCAGTTCCATATTGCATTTTCCTATTAATTTTCTCTGGATTTAACTACTCTTGGAAAGGCATACAGAATTGAATGGACCCTCTGAGATCATATATATAATTTTTATTAGAGAAAGTTTAACATAATAAAAACAAATTTTGAAATAAAAAGTAAAAAATAATGTGAAAAAGTGCAAAGAAAAAAATGGAGAATAAGGAAAGAAAAGAAAGAAAAGAAAAGGTTATAAAGAAACAGCTTCTGATCTTACATTTATATTTACCCTCTCTCTAAGGTTACAAAATATTTTTCTTCTTTCCGTAGTCTACCCTTTCTAGTTATCAAACCCATAAATCACTAGTTCATGCTTTCTTTTCAGCAAAAAGTCTGTAAGATGCTTCTAGTCACTAATAAATATAATTATTGCCCTTTCTCTAATCAGACAAGTAAATGTTGCTATCTCTGTTAATTCTGTTATCTTCATCAATCATTCCTCCATTGCGGGTATTTCAGAACCTTTCTGAAATACCTTTCAGAGTGCATATAGCACAATAATCTCACAGCAGTTATCATACTGTTTATAAAAACACGCTTCCATAATTCTTTTCTGTTTATCTATTAGTCCCAAAAGCAAAGTTATGCATGCTAATATTTAAAATTCTTTGTATCATTGTGTGTATATGAACTCAGAATTTTCTAGCTATTTTACAAGTCCACCAAACATGATAAAATGACCTTTTATGTTTGATCCTTATCATATACTTTCACCTGTTCTTTTTCCATTTCTAATTTCAACAAGTTTATATGTTTCAGCAATTACATCTTCATTATTTGTACATAATTCAATTTCAAATTTGCTCTTGTGCTATTCAATTCCAAATGTCCTCTTATCTACCTTAAATATTTTTCTTAACTGTGTCTATGAAAACTACTGAAAGTTAAATCCAGTCAACTGATCTATTGATTTCATCTTATATTCTCCATGTTCTTGTTCTACAGTAATAGCTACATATATGCTAACTATCCTTCTTTGCTGGCTATTCCTTTTATATAAAATGCTGAGACCCATAAAGGCATTTTTGCCACCCTCTGGGTTTATTCCGTGTTCTCAATATGGCACTTCTAATATAGTGATTTTAAAATCTATATTAACCTTAACTTTATCACATCATAGAAAATTGTGCCATCCAAATCTCAGGTCATGCTCCTCCACCTCTAAAATTATCTTATTTCTCATCAGCGCCCACTCTTTTAATCGAACTAAGCAGCAGACTGCAAAATACACTTTCTAACCAAGCAGTTCCAATTCTCCTTGTTTCTTTGTATCTTAGCACATTTTATATTTAACTTAGCTTATTCCCTTGCCCTAGATACTGTATATATTTTTGCTTTTGCTTAAACGGTCAAACCAGGTATCAATTATTTTTATCACAGGAATTCCTTCCAACAATGACAGTGGTCATTTTTTCTATCTTAGTATGTTCTTCTTAATGGTCTTAATGTAATTGTTGAAATCTTATAGGTCTTAATGTAATTGTTCTGAAATAATATGCAATTCATGTTAATCATATTAAATACCAAGTATTTTACTTTTTTCCTAAATATTAAAACAGTATTTTTGCTCATCCACCCTCATGTTAACTTCTCTCATTAATTTTAAATCAATCAATGCACCAAAATCCTTTACTTTTTCTGTATTTCCATTTCTTCCAAATAATTTTTCAAAATTATCACCAAATATCAGCGAACATCTTTAATTTATATATTCCACTTTTCATCCCCACTGCAGCAATCTGGTTTTACGAGTCCATTCAATTCAACTAAGATGAATAATAACAACGGCATCCGTGTCTTGTCCTTTTCTATATCTCACAAGGTTGTTAATTTCTCTATTTACAATTATCTCAATTTACAATTGCCTTTTGTGAATTATAAATCAGTTTTATCCATTTAATCAAATTCACTCTCGAGATTATACCTTAGAATTATAGCATCCATCCAAGGGTATGAGGCAGGTGTTACCAAGTTCCTCACTCATCATTCCAAAACTGAAATCTAACAACACAGTATGGGAGTATCCAAGTGGTTTTGGGAGAGGACCAGCAAGAGCAATCAACCAATGGAGCAGCTTGCCTTCAGAAATCGTGGGAGCTTCATCACTGGAAGCTTTTCAAGAAGAGACTGGACAGCCACTTGTCAGAAATGGTATAGGGTCTCCTGCTTGGGAGACAAGTTGGACTAGATGACCTATAAGGTCCCTTCCAACTCTGTTAATCTGTATCTAATTGAGAGTATTCAAAATCTTAGGAATTGTCTTGTATGAATGCAGCCTGTGCTTTAGCTTGGTGAGCAATAGAGAGTGCAGTGAATTTTAAGTGACAGTGTTTTTCCTCAGCTCCCCAAACTAAGAAGAAACCACAACTGGCCTTAAAACCACAACGGGCTTTAAATGCAAGCTACTCAATGCAAGAAACCTTGTAAATAAAATACCTGAATTTCTCCTCTTACTAATTATGGCTAAATTCAACATTATATTTGTCTGTGAAACATGGCTCAACACATCTCTCCCTCACTCCATTATCACAGTAAGAGACTATCACGTTTACCGATCAGATCGTGAAATCCATAGAGGTGGTGTTGCTATCTTGTATAAAAAGTCCCTACATCTAAAAAACATCCAAGTTACCCAGGAGCTTGCTCTTCCAGAGACCATCATCTGTGAACTATTCTTAAATATAGCATTTTGGCTCTTACTATGTTACAAAGCCCCTGATTATGACATCAAACATGCAAACAAGCTAAATATACTACTAACATGGGCAGCATCCTGCCCACACACTTTTAACTTTCTTGGTGACTTCAGTCTACTTCATATTAACTGGACCCTTAACGAATTACAACTGAACCCACACATGCAACCTTCTACAATGCAGTAACAAATCTGGGAGTAGAACAACTAGTAATCAACAACACTAGACTTAACAACTGCCTCTATCCCATCTTCTGCAATATTTTGAATTCAATTTACGGAATACAAATTAAAGAACCCTTTTCCAACAGTGACCACAACATGATTGACTTTTGTCTCAAAATACGTCCACACAAAAATCATCACGACGGAATCCCCAGTTATAACTTCAAAAAAGGCAACTATGATCTTATAAACAACGATCTCTCATCCCTTGATTGGCAATTCTATCTCTGGATGCAATATTGTAGAAGACCATTACAACATATTTTTACTTGAACTCAAAAGAGTCATCAAACTATATGTACCATTAACAACTCCCAAAACCAGAAAAAACAAATTACCCATAACAATAAGGAAGCTTCAATCCAAAAAGAAATCACTTTGGCGGAAAAACAAATCTGGTCACGTTGCCAACTTCAAAAGCTGATACAAAAATTTATGCCACCAGATAAAAACCGAATGCACCAATTATCACATTAAACGAGAAGAAAACCTTCTACGCACCAATTCCACCCGCACTTTCTACAATTTTGTAAACAACAAACTAAAAGACTCAAGGTCCATCTCACCCCTGAAAGGACCTAATGGTAAAGACTGAAACAACGACACTATTAAAGCCAACTTCTTTAACATATTCTTTGGTATTTGTAAACAGCAATGGATCATGCCCAGTATTTCCTAGTCGAACCACAGACAACTACAATGATCTAATACATACCGATTTTATAGAAGACAATGTTGAAAAAGCACTACGCAATCTAAAACCATCTCTTATCTATTGGACCGGATGGAATATGTGCCTATTTCTTAAAAAAGCTATCCACTGCCATAGCTGAACCTCTAAGCATAATCTTTGAAAAATCTTTCAGGACCAGCTCCTTGCCAAAACTATGGTCACAAGCCACGGTCATCCCCATCTTCTAAAAGGCAGACCCCAGTCTAGTTGAAAATTACAGACCAATCTCTTTATGCTGCGTCACCTGTAAAGTCATGGAATCAATTATTAACCAATCCATCATCCTTCACTTAGAAACAAACAACATACTCTCTAATAAACAATTTGGTTTCAGGAAAAAACTATCACGTAATCTGCAACTATTACACTGCAAAAACATATGGACTACACAACTTGATCAAGGCAAAGCAATACATGCAATCTACATAGACTTCTGTAAAGTCTATGTAGTGGTACACGGCGAAATACTCCTAAAACTAAAATCTTATGGTATCTCTGGACACCTGCATAACTGGATAGAAGCATTCCTGTCAAACAGACAACAAATGGTCAAAATTGGGAGCGTCCTATCAAATTCTGTACCAGTCAACAGTGGTGTACCCCAAGGCAGTGTTCTAGGACCAACTCTTTTCATACTCTACATAAATGACCTCTGTGATCATATCAAGAGCAACTGCATTCTCTTCGCTGATGATGTAAAGCTACCACAGACAATACTGCTACCCTTCAAAAAGACCTTGACTATGTATCAGAATGGTCAAACAAAAGGCAACTTCAAATCTCAACAAATAAATGCTCTGCCCTACGTATTGGCAAAAAAAATCAGAAAATAAAATACAGGCTGAATAGTCAAGACTTTGTTGATGATCCAAACTCTGTCAAGGATCTTGGAGTACTCATTTCTAATGACCTAAGTGCTAGAGCCCACTGTAACTACATACCCAAAAAGGCATTAAGAGTTGTTAACCTAATCATACATAGCTTTTTCTCTGGTAATATTACACTAATAACTAGAGCATACAAAACATTTGCTAGACCAATACTCGAATACAGCTCATCAGTCTGAAAACCACATTATGTATCTGATATTAGCACAGTTGAGAAAGTCCAGAAATATTTCACAAGAGGAGTTCTCCACTCCTCTACTTGTTGCAGAATACCTTATGCCACCAGACTCGAAATTCTAGACCTAGAAAACCTAGAACTACGCCACCTTCGGTCTGATCTAAGCATAGTATATAAAATCATACATTACCATGTCCTAACTGTCAATGAATACTTCAGCTTCAACCATAACAACACAAGAGTAAACAATAGATACAAACTCAAAGTTTATCACACCAAACTTGATTGTAGGAAATACGACTTCAGCAACAGAGTGGTCAATGGCTGGAATACTCTACCTGACTCTGTGGTTTCTTCCCCAAACCCCCAAAACTTTAACCTTAGACTGTCTACTATTGACTTCACCCCTTTCCTAAGAGGTCTGTAGGGGGCGTGCATAAGCGCACCAGTGTGCCTACTGGCCCTGTCCTATTGTTTCTTTTATTTATATTTTTTATTTTTCTTATATGTGTTAGACTAAGTTCCGACAGTTTCTTGCTGGGGACGGCCTGTCATTCAGCATTCCCTTTTGTGCACTGATCCAGGATCAGCACTTCAGGCTTTCTAGGCAGGAATGAAGTAGCAGGAAGGCTGCGGTGCTTAAAGGAGGTGTGAAGAAAGATTTGCACCACTGGAGCAGGGGGAGAAAAGGGCTTTGGGGCACCTCTTCCAGCCCATCCTGAATTCCTGCCCTTGGGATCTGCCCTACACTACCCCGCGACTCCTTTACCGTTGTGACCATTTTCCCGTCCATCATCCAGCTCTGTAGCTCTCCTGGCCCAAACCAGAAAGCGCTTAAGAGGGTTTAAGCAGCGTTTCAATGTGCAAACAAAGGGGCGCGGCCAGCCGTGGCCACGCCTCCCTTCGTGACGCTACTCCTTCTGAATGCAGAGGGCGGGGGCTGCTTGCTAAGTAGCACGGGGGCAAAGTCACTACCCGAGGCGCTGCAGTGAAGAGTCGGAAGAGGTGGGTGATTGCTGGGGAAATCGCGGCGCGGTTGGGGCAGCGTGGCCTGGGTGCTCTTTCCGAGATCAGCGCAGGGAAGAGAGCAGCATTCACGCTGCTTTTTCTGGGGGAGGGAGAGCGCATTTGAATCCGGCAGTCTTCTGCCTTTCAAAGCAAGATTCGTGTGCGGGATTGTCTCTTTAGGCTCTTGTACATTGCGAAAGCTGCTTTCTCCCTTTCCAGCTTATCAAGTTCAGTGATTTCCCACTTCCCGAGTTTGCCTTCAACTTTGCCCCTTCCTTCCCACTCTGCACCGCCCCCGAAACAGCGGGCTTCTTTGTGGGGCGGAGATGTCAAGGCAGCGTGGACCGAGCAATGGTTTTTGGAAGTGAATTGCCTCAAAATCTTTGGCATTCATCAAGGCTTGTTTGAAGAGCTCCGCTTTGTGTCGACAGTACTTCCTTTGGGTAGTAAATACGACAGCCAATCATAGTTTAGATATGCAGCCAGTGTTCATGTTAATCGTTCAAGGTATGGTTTTGTGTACTAGAAAATTAGTTTAATTCCACAGAAACTCAGCCATCCTCTCTCTACCTTAGGGGCTGATGGAACATTTGGGATTTTGAGAAAGAATCATGGATGCCACCAAGAAAGTGTTAATCAGACAACACTTTTCACAGGAAGGCAAAATACTTAACATTTTTGGGGTCCCCAAAACATGCTGAACCATAAATGAACCACAGGCTGGGGCCAGGAAATATTGGGCTAAAATAAGTTAAATGGCTTATAAACCTAGACAGAGTTTAGGGTTGGAATCAAATCTATGTAGCCACACAAACCTAAAACCTCAGGAAAATAAAGCTAGCAGTTGAAGAACATTTCGCCTTGAAGCACAGCCAGTCCGCCCCTCCATTTTTAAAAATTCAAAATGGATGATTTCTGGTGAAAACAGGATGATAATTGTGCAACCATCCTTGCCTTACATGACCTCCCTCCCTGCACCTTTTGATACCATCAATTCTGGATTGGCTCAGGGGGTGGGGGAGACACAGTGTTGTGCTGTTCTACTTTCTTTCTCCGGGACTGATTCCAGTTGATGGTAGGGGAAGAGAGATCCCACTAACAGCCCCCAACCATATGGGATGGCACAGGGGTTCTATGCTCGCTCTTCTCCTATTCAACATCTATTTAAGGCCACTGGGTGAGCTCATCTGCAGCCACAGGATGAGGTATCATCAGTACTGCACGCTGATGACACTTAATTGTACATCTCTGCTGCTGGAGAATTAAGTAATACCGTGGGTATCTTATCCTGATGCCTGGAGGCTGTGAGGGTCTTGATGGGGAACAACAGCCTTCTGCTGAACCCTGGCAAGACTGAGCGACTTAAAAGTTCCAGTTCTAGGACTATGCCATGTGCAGTCTGAGGTCCTTTCTAACTCACAATTCTTACTCAAAAGAACAGGTGGAAGTTGTGGCTAGGAAGGCCTTTGCACAACTTCGTGTGCAAAGTTCCTGGATGGGGTGGGGGGAAGGGGCTCTGCTCACTGTCACCTATGACCTAGTTACCTCCCATTCCGACTTCTGTCATGTGCTCTACATATGATTGCCCTTGAAACTTATCTGGAAGCTTCATCTGTGCAGAAAGCAGTGATGCAGGCAGTTATATGTATTCCTAGAAAAGTACATATTGGTTGCCAGTTTGCTTCTGGTTGCCCCTACTTTAAGGTGCTGATGTTGATCTTTAAAACTCTTCTTGGCATGAGGCCAGATTATCTGAGGGACTGCCCATAACATCAGATCTGACAGAGAAGACATGCTGCAAGTCCTATCTGTCAGGGAATTTACATTTGGCAGATCCCAGGAGGCAGGCCTTCTCTGTTGTAAACAGCTAAAGGTTTCCCTGTCAGTTATGTCCAACTCTAGGACACAGTGCTCATCTCCGTTTCTTGACTGAGGGACTCAGCAATGTCCAAAGATACTCATAATCAGGAGGCCAGCATGGCTATAAAAGGCACACAGAATGCTGTAACCTTCCCGCCAAAATGGTATCTGTTAATCTACTTGCATTTGCATGCTTTCAAACTGCTAAGTGGGCAGGAGCTGGGGCAAGTAACAGGAGCTCACCACATTGCAGCACCCGCCTTATGGAATCTTCACCCCCCACCACCACCCAGAAGTGAGATTAGCACCACCCCTCTTATCATTCAACAAGTCCTGACTATGCTTTCAGGCTTTGGTGTCCTAGGGGACTAGGGAGATCTTGCAAGGCTCCCATACTGTGTCTGATATATCTTGTTTTGTGTATTTTTTAGTTCTTAATAATAATTTTCACTTATATTTATGAAAACACATAATGGTTTTCTAATTAAGTGCTGTAATACCAACCCGAGTCACTCTCTTATGAAATGTGTTAGGAATATAAGTCACCTAACAGGTATTTGGCTTGGAAATATATAAACCAGGATAGACATTTTAATACTGTCTCTTTAAGAGCAAAAAAACTGCAATTGGGTGTGGTTTCTCAAACGGCCATAAAATGGAGCCAGAAACCTGGGTTGTCTTACTCTTAGTCTCAGAAGAGAGTCTGAGTCTCTGTTTTCCTTCTGTTGGAGAGTATTGCCGTTCCTCCATTTTTCATAATTGACTGATATTCATGGATTTGATGTAAGTCTGATACTGAACTGGACTTTGTTATTGGATTATCCCTGGACTGATAACTGACTGACTTACCTGTAAATGACTTTAGACTGCTTGTTTTACAAATAGGATAGAGAGAGAAGGAGGGGGAGGGAGGAAGGGAAAAAGAGAGAGAGAGATGGCCCTTTCCTGCCTCCACTTTAGTGTGTAAATAAGCAAACCAGGCCTTGTCTACTAGAGCAGGTGTGGGGAGATTAAATTTAATCTAGTCTCTTGGCAATTAAGAGTGCTGCTGTTTTAGGCAGAGTAGCAGGCAGCGTTGAGCAAGTGACTTTTGTCTCATGCCTGCCTGCTTGCCTCTCCAACTCTTATCACTGCCTGCCTGCTGCTATTTTGTGCAGTGGGAGGTTCTTTGGAAGGGAGATTAATGTTTAGACCTTCAATACAACTAAAATATGACTGGTTCCCATGATTTATATCCCCATTAGCAAAAAATGAGATACATCTTGATAACATTGTCAGAAGTAACATTGGTAAATGTTTGAGGATTTGACATGTTGAAATGAATTGCAGTAATTAATCAAAATAGATAGTAAAACAATTACTACCTTTTTAAAAAGTCCTTTATGTATACATATACAATTCAGAGCCTATCCAAAAGTAAACATATTTTTGGTATGTTTTCCATCACAGAATAGTTGGAACCATATTACACATTTTGGGCAATGATCAGGGACTTAGCAATATGGCTAAGACCAGGTGAAAGACCCTTCAATATGTCTCCTTGTTCTTCCCTTTTCTCACTCCTTTTCTTCCATGTTTATGTGTCTTGCTTCAGAGATGCCGACGGAAGGTGAGCCAAGTGGTCTTATCAGAATCACCCAGCTTTTTCTCCTCTCTACAGCCTGGGGAATGCAGATATGGGTAACCTTCATTGCAGGTATGTATGTAGGGCAGGTAGGGAGCTAATTTAGAATGTTATTCTTCTGTATGACAAAGGCTGAGTTAGAGGAAATATGAGTTGGAAGGAGAGAAACAACCATGTTTTCCAAATTTGCCAGTAGCTTTCTCTATTTTTAATGTAGAAAAACGTGTTTTATGTTCTGTTCTTTATTGATTAGCCCTTGGGCCATATCAAAGAGTATTATGTAGAAATCTGAATTTCTCCCACTATTTAAAGAAAAGGATATGTTTCCCCATATAACTCATCCTTACTTTGTCTCTAGGTTTTGTTCTTTTCCGAACTGTGAGCCGGCACACCTTTGGCCTGGTACAGGGCAAATTGTTTCCCTTCTATTTCTATACCTTACTTGGCTGCACATTCCTTAATCTTGCCATATTTGCTGCATACCATCCACGGGAACTTCTCAGCACCAGAGAAACTGTTCAGGTAAGTAGCAATTAATGATCTAAAATCCTGCAGTTTTACATTCAGGGGCAAGCATGCAGGCAGAAAGTTATATAGGCACATTCTGAAAATGCCTTCAGCTTGTCATCATATCAGCATTCAAATTTCCCAACTCATCTAAGATTGAGAGATCTTGTTATTCTTTAAAAAATCCTCTTGGCTTCATTGACCTAAGCAGTTTCACTGTTCAAATTGGATCTCTTAGAAGACTTCCATTATCTCCTATTTAATAGTGCCTTCTAAGTCCATCTTTTTCTATCATTTTATTGCTCTGATACTTTTTCATGTATATTCTTCCATGTTCTTCCTATCTCCCTAGGACAGGGGTGTCAAACTTGAGGCCCATGGGTGGGATCCGGCCTGTGGGATGTTTAAATCTGGCTGATGGGGCCGGCCTGGAAACAGCAAAGGACCATGGTGCCTCTACCAGTGAAAATGGAGCTTGGGGGCACATGCGCCTCCCGCTATGTTTTTGCAGGCAGAGAGCTGCAGGAGGCTGTCACGGCCAAAAAAGGGGCCCAGGCAGGGTGCGGATGCCCCCCCCCCTCCATTTTCACTGGCAGAGGGTTATTAAAACAAACTAAAAACAAAACAAAAGGAGAAGTGTTTCCTCTTTTGCATTTGAGCATGCAAAAAGGGACAGAAGAGCAGAAAGGGGAAAGGAAAAACAAAGAAAGAGAAGGAAAGAGAGCATGGAAGGAAAAATAAGGAAAGAGGGGAAGGAAGAAGAAAGGAGAATGAAGAGGGAAGGAAAAAGAAGAAAAAGACGGATGAATGGATAGATAGAAGGAAGGAAGGTAGGAAGGTTATAATGAGAGTGAGTGAGGGTCTCAGGGAAGTCCTGCCTTAGCACTTGGCCACCACAGGTGCCCGCAATTCATGTCCCGTGTCACACCCACCATGGCCACGCCCACCTCAGCCCTCCAAGGTCAAACACAACCCTGATGTGTCCCTCAATGAAATCAAGTTTGACACCCCTTCCCTAGGACCTTTGCAGAACCAGCTGCTTCAGATTAAAGATAGTCGTAATGGCATATACAGGTAGATATATTTACATTACAAGACATACAATTACCCATTCAATTCTATAGCTACACAAGTGATAGCTGTTGATGGTGGAAAGGCACTGATGCTTCCTTCTCTGGGTAATAATTTTAGTTTCAGAATGCTCTACATCTATATACAAATCCATGGCCAGGTTCTTATGAGATGAACTTTTGGCAGCCTTCTTGGTTAAATGATTTGATAAGCAGAATGATAGTGACATAGTGACATTCATAAAGGATAAACAGAGATAATACAAATTGAAGAGGTCCCTATTTGTCTGTATTTAGTGGGCTTCTGAATAAACTGGTTTAGGATTGCAATTCTGCTTTCTTTCTCCCTGTCCTCAGTGTATAACATTTCTAAATCTTCCAGAATATTCCAACTCAGAGGGTGTATTTAGAACACTATCATATTCATTCCTTCCCTGCATCTTTGCTCCCAGCCTTCACAACTATATTTCAGAAGAAAAGCAAAGGTTCACATAAAATGCATCATAGTAAATTAATAATTCTTGGATAGATGGATAGTTATGTATAACCTTTGCAGCAGAATATTTTGTGGCACTTTAAATATGAGCATATGCTATAATAAATTTGATTATCTTTAAAATGCCATAAAGCCCTTTTTTATAATTTATCAACTAATCAAGAGCCCTACTGAATTAACATATATTTTGTAATATTTTACTAAAGAAAGACATTACAACACTTAGCATGTAATGCTTTTTCATTTCATCACCATTCCCACCTCTGAAAAAATCTGAGTATGAGTGTGTTACTCTAATTTCTTGTTTCATGTAATTTTGTTATGCAGAGTAGATCCCAGGATAATAGGTGCAGCATTACAAGATCTTTCTAAATAATTCTGGGCATATTTTTCAAATATAGAATACAATAAATAAATGATTTCATTTCTTACCAAACAGTCTTCTCTGTCATGCTAAGAGCAACAAGAGTAAGAACACTGAAGTGACTGTCATGCTTCAATGGCTGTGTTCATGCAACATGCTAATCTAAAACTAAACAAACCAGATTCTTGTCTAGCACAACATCTGAATCCTGGAGAGAAATTCTTAAGGGCAGATAAGGTGGGGGCTTTCAAAGTACAACTGTAGTGCTGCCTCAAAAGATATGAGTTTTACTTACCTTTTTTATTTATCTTTTTCATTTTTCTTCTAAGAAGAACTTTTGACAGAAGAAAATACGTGGGGCTGGGACATGAAGCAGAATAATTGCCTGGGGCTTTAAATATATTTAGTGAATGGTGGGATGTTATAATCTTTTTCACGATCCAATCTGGGTTGGTCACTGGGACCAATGGTTTTGGACTCATGCTGGAGCCCATCTTCTATTTTTTTTCCACCATTCACAGTAAAAATATAGTCTGTATATATCTACTTCCCTGTTTGTTAAACATGAGTATATCAGGGAAGCATCTGAATATTGTTCAGCACTGAAAAAACCTGTTTTGAGTTGACATGTAATCACCTTATTGGCAGCTAACTGTACTCAAGATCAACAAAACAAACCAAAATGATAGGATCATAGAGGTTGAAAAAGATACTACGCAATACTATCATTTTCTTCTCAAGAAGAAAATCATTGTATTTAGCTCCTCAAGTTTGTTTTGAGGCAATAAAATAAAAATCTTGGAGAAAGCATACAGATGTTATGTGTATATATGAACCACATATATATCTGATAATGTCCTTAAAGAATTAATTGAAACATCGCTCCCCTTAATTTTTCACCACAATCTTTTTGGATCATGAGAAATAATCTGTGTACTGAGCCAAATGTCAAGAACACAAGTGATTGACAAGTATTTCCTGGCCAGCAGATTTTGCAATATTTCTGAAGCACTGGTGTTTTGTTAGAGCTGATCCTAGGCATAGGAAAGTTAGTATTCATGTTGCACTAGTTCCTTTGAGATATATATATATATATATATATATAATATATATAATATATGTAATATATATAATATATATAATATATAATAAATAGGGTGTAATGTAGAAAACTGACTCTAACTTTAGGCCAATCACATTCTGTCAGCAACCTACCTCATACAATTGTGAAGGAATATTGGTGGGAAGTTAATTTAAAATAAATTTAAAATATATACATCATTTTTATTAATTCTTTTTAGACTACGTAGCTAATTGACTCTTAAAATTGAGGAAAATCAAGTTCATCAACTGCCCTTTAATTTTTCCAGAAATAAGAATGTAATTCCAGAACTCATATAAAAAAAGACTCCAAGAAAATTACATATAGCATATTGGAATCCAGAAGTGGTCATGATACTTTGTGTCTTCCTTATAGATCACACTCTTTTTTATTTGCCTCATTTTGGTTGCCACTAATGCCTCCTGGTTCTCCCAAGTCACCACCAAGACCATGCTTAAGATGCAAGAGATTGAAAAGGAGCATGGGCTCGGACAGGAAGTGGGAAGTTCAGGTCAGCGAGAGGCTTACCAACTTCTGAAGGAGAAGGACGGCAAATATCGGCACCTGCGCCAGAAGTTCTTCAAGTTTCATGGCTTGTCTTCTCTCTGCAATCTGGTTTGTGTTATCTGCACCGGGGTGAACTTGGCATTCGTTGCCTTGCAACTGGAGAGTCTATAGACTCTCCACTCCTCTAGCTTGTTCTCATGGTTTCTCCAAAAACATTGATTTTGCTCTAAGGAGGAGCATGGAAATGACCAGAAATCAGTCCTTTTGGAGTGTGTATCATTCATCTAGAAACAGCCAGATACAGAATGCCCTCTCAAAGTATAAATTGGATTGTCTGATAATTATAAAGGGATGATATTTAAATTTAGAGAAAACTATCTGCATAAATTAATGCCACTTCTGTTTTAAAATCTTGATGCAATATTAGTTTGGGTTGTGCTAAGTTAGGAGATTTTTATAACAATGTTTTATAATTTGTCATTGTCAGTAGGCTCCCTATTGTTAACGAGAGTCTACCATTTAATATTTATTGTATACCCAGGGAACAAGATTTTAATGGGACTCACTTTTAGCAATAAGGTAAAGGATTCTGCTATCTTAAAAGAAAATTTAAATATAAAATGCCTTTTTATATACAAATTCTTATCTTTTGGAATTCTGCTTTTGGAATAAAGAATGTTTACTATTAAAAATGTACCTTTTAGTAGATTAATAGCCCTCTTCTTCTGTTGCTTATTTAAATCTTTTCTCTCTCCTAGTTTCCAGCAGGGATTTTCAGGTTGGCAGGTAAATTAACTGGATTCATAAACTATTTTAATCTATTGAGCTGCACTCATTTCAGTGACCACCCTATTTCTTTTCTTACCTGGGTGACTCTAGTTCATGCTATACCATTGTTTATTCCTAAAACAGTTGGCTGGTTTCATATAATACTGTGGTTAGAATGTAGTATTTCAAGTTGATTCTGTCCACTGCCAGGAGATTGATCCTAACCGGCTCGGTATTAACTCAGTTTTCCATCCTTCTGAAGTCAGTAAAATGAGGGCCCAGATTGTTGGGGGCAATATGCTGACACTGTACAGAGTGCTGTGAAGCACTGTGGAGCAGTATATAGGTCTAAATCCTATTGCTGTAACATGCTAAAACATAAAGCCATGATTCATGAACCACTGCTATTGTTCACATGTTAAACAAATAGTTTGTATGATATGGGTTTAGTATACTGCAAAAACCAGCGTTTGTTTTCTTTTGTGATTTTATATGTAAGCTGTTTTGTCATATTATTAAGAAGACTAGGACTATGGGTGGCAGCCAGGTATAACATGGCCTATCTCTTTGCATTTGCTTCCCAGGCCATCAGCCATAAATTAGGACCTAAAGCTTTTGTGAGGTATTGCTTTGAATGCAACAAGACATTTGCAGGCTTTTTTTTTAAAGCCTAGTATTGGATGAACCAGGACAAATGGGTAATGAGCCTGCTGAATAGATCATTTAAATGTAAAATGAACCTAGAGAATATTTAAAATTCTGCTCTGAATATCAAATTCTGGCACCTCTGAACCTGAGAATACAATCCTGTTCCAGCTCACCGTGCTACTCCGCCATCTGGGCCACATACTAAAGAAAGCTTCATGAGAAAATGATTGTACTTTTTGCTGTTAGAGAAGGCCTGCTGTGCCTCAGGTGCATACAAAATTTGACCACTTCTGCCAGGAAGAGATGCAACCAGTATTGGGATAAATGAAGAGGAAAATATATTTACCTAATTCCTGGATGTTCTAATTGGGATGATAATTCAGAATCTCTAAAGGCATCTTATTGGCCATTTCAACCACAAGCTCTGATCTAAGCATCATAATAAGGTCATAATTTAAGCCACAGCTGGCTCCATGCATTACACTAAACCATGGTTTGCTAAAAACCATGCTAAAGCATGACCCAAACAAGCCACATTAATGCACATGTGTGTACATTCAACTAATGATCAAATGGCAAACTCACCCTTAACAGTCTAATCTAAAGCTATGACTTGGTGATATTTACTTCACAGGTTGTACCCAGGTGATATTTACTTCACAGATTGTACCCACCTACTTCCTTCTAACTACTACAAGTTTGTCTCATCAAACGGGACTGCTGTGTACTAAAGACCGATACCCTTTGATCATTGTACAGCTGAATAGATTTCTCTGTCCTATTTAATAAGCCTTCTGTGGGCTTTTTTTAAAAAAATCTTTTTAAAATGCCTGTAAATTTCCTTTAGTATAGAGGGAAAAAAACACTTTTATCTTTCTGGAAAACTGCCCATGTCCATATGTACACGTATAGCCCAGGCTAGTCTTAATTAAGCCCAGTGTGACTTGCAGATCTAGGTCATGGATTACATTGTGGTTGAGAAACATACCTTAATCACAACTGATACTCATGTTTAGAAGATTTACTTCCTTGGTTATGGCTTTGCGTGTTAAATAAGCCTGACAGGGATGTTTAAGCCACTGTTAAATCCTCCTGGCCTTCAGAATTAGAGATGGAAGACAGGAGAGGCTGCATAGAAATGCCTCCTACTACAGCATTTCAGCTGCTTCTCTGTTATTTGAACATGTTATTCTTGTACTCATTCAGCACATTTCATTAGACTAATATTTCTCAAACTTAGCTACTTTAAGATAAATGAATTTCAACTCTGAGAATTCTCCGGCCTGCATAGGTAAGTCCACATGTTGCTAAGGATGAGAAAAAATGGACTAGACTAGTAAATACAGTTCAACTTGTTGTTCCACAGCAACACGTAAAAGTGCTCCTTCCTTCCTTCCTTCCTTTCCTTCCTTCCCTTCCCTTCCCTTCCCTTCCTTCCTTCCATCAGTTGCCTGCTCTAAAGCCCATGTAAAATCTGCCCACCAACAATACTAAAAAAAATCTCCCTTCCCAACAGCAGAACTGGCTTATAGGGAGATGTTTACCTGTCTTTGATTATATGGATATGCCTATGATAAACTCAGAAGAGTGTGCCAAGTATTAACATGAAATCTTTGCAACATGCACAGTTGTCCAATCTACATGATTCAACTTTTCAATTACTTGTTAAAGTAGTTAAATCTACATGGCTAAGCTCTTGCAATGTAACCCTTAATAATTCAGCTTTCCACCGCTTCCAGAAGGTCGCCTGAAAAACAGGCTGTTGTCAAGAAGAAAGATTACTGCAGTCCAGTAAACTGCTAGTTCTGTCCCAGTGGGGCTGTGGGAGACTGTGGTCTAAAACAAAAAACAAAAAAAGGAGGCATTGAATAAAGCACATTCATCAGGAGAACTGGATGCTACCAAATATTTTCTGAGCAAAACAGACAAGAAGGTGATCTCAACTTGGAGAAAAAGCCATATCACAAACATACTAAGAGACAGAAAGGGATGGTCAATATATATACAGTGCAATAACTTATCTCAGTCTAAGTTGGCAATAAAAGTGGGGAGCTTATTCTTTTCTAATTTTTATATGAGCTTAAGTCCTGAATTAGGCTTCTTGAACAATTTTTAAAAACTAGGAAAATTCTTGCATGTCATAAGCAATCATAGCTTATTAGGCCAATTCCTGTCTCCTTCCCCCCTTCCTTTTCTCAAGCCAGCCTTGCATCGAGACATTATGGTAGGGCTTTAAAAAAATAAAGAAAAAGCTAGGCCACCTGCAACAAATCAAACACATATTTTGTGCCACACTTGTAGTCTAGTCCACCTAAGTTGATTTGTTTCTGGGATATCCAATTTGGTACTGTATGTTTTAGTTCTACACTGATAATTGCAATTTTTCTTTGGTTTCTGATCTTCACATTCATGTGCTAATTAAAGTTGTCCTTGTAAGACAAGAAACTTTAAAAAGCTCAGGTATATCAGCAGATTAATTATAAGACTGTTATGAAATCATTAAAGAAATTTCAATATCTTGTTTAGAGTGGGATAACAGATTGAGCTAAAGACAAGGGCAAGTATACTCTCATGACTCAGCATCTACCAACCGGTATGAAGCTTAAGTAAATTTTGTTTAAAACTTACAAATAAAATGGAGATTAGAAGTTTAACCAGGAAGAAGCAAACTGATGTGTGGAACAGGAAGAATTAACCTGGACAGAAAGATGAAAATGAAACTTCACGCAGAAAGAGTAGCAACCATGTCATCCAAGCATGAGTACAGCAGAGAGCAAATAGGCAGCCAAACAATAGTGGGATTGGCAAGGGAAATATCTTCCTTTGACAGACTACATTAATGTAATGTTATTTCACATAGAAATAATAGAATATTATGTTTCTTAGGGCTGATATTTCCGATCTGAAACCCAAAAAATGCTTCACCTATCGGGTTACCTTGGTGAAAAACTGCTCCACTAAATGAGAATCAGAGAAATAGAGATCTGAGTTTCCATTTTCTACGTTGAAACACCAGTATAGTGTTCATTAGCCCAAACAAAGCGGACTGAGCACCAAGCTTAGGTCAGGAAGGATGATATAGAAAAGAAGAAAATGGGCTAATCCATGGTAGATAATTTTAATTACATGGTATAATTCCCAATACATACACATACTACATCCAACACATACATGGATTCGAACCTTAAGGCCGGTTTTTAAATTCCCTGACGCTGCCCTGCTGAGCAGGGAAGCTGGCCCCTTTGTCCATTGTATGGCCCTGTTGCACACATGGTGGCTTTAGTCTCATATCCTATCCATTTTGAATTGACTATATATTTTAGTCTAGCATCAGAAAAGATTCTGCATTCCTTCCTTGTTATTTATGTTACATAAATAAATATATAACAAATATTAAAATAGAAAATATTAATTTCTTCTTTTCTTTGCTGTGCTAGTGGAGAATAAAAATCAAACTTCTAAATCCCATAGGGCACTCGCACAGCATTTAACTGCAGTTCCCCCAAACAGCCACACTTTTTCCTGGGACTGCACAGCTATTATCCGCAGCTATCTACATGAAGGTTCAAGGTTCAAAAGGATCCTGAAAGACTTGAACATTGGGCCTCTTTCCAGTAAAATTCAGTTTAATTAGAAGAAATGCAGAGTTATACATGGCTAAGACAGGGGCATCAAACTCATGGCCCACGAGCCGGATGCATCACGCACTGGCCATGCCCACGCCATTTTAGTGAAGGAGAAAAAGTCGAGATACATCATGTGATGTGATGCCACGAGTTTGACACCCCTGCACTAAGACAAGAAAAACCAGATGTGGAAATACAAGATAGGTGGCACCCAACTCAACAGTCACTGTAGTTTAGAAACAGACTCAGGTTCAAAATAAGGAGTAAATGAGTCATTTCCTGATTGTGGTTGCTATTAAGCAAAGGAATAGGCATCACTGATGATTTTCAAATAAAGGTTGGACCAGGGGTGGTATTTAGCAGGTTCTCACCAGTTCTGGAGAACTGGTAGCGGAAATTTTGAGTACTTCAGAGATGCCACCTCTGACTAGCCCCACCCCCATCTATTCTCTGCTTCCCGAGTCCCAGCTGATTGGTTGGGTCTTCTTTTGTTGCCCTGCACAGGAGAATGGAGCTGGAAAGCAGGTTAGTAGCATGGGGAGGGGAGAGAATGGGGATTTTGCAGTATCCTTCGCCTGCCACGCCCATCAAGCCATGCCTGCCAAGCCCACAGAACCGGTAGTAAAAAAAATTGAATCCCACCACTGGGTTGGACAGTAATTTGTGATGGTCAATGGTCCCTGGTCAAGAGTCCTGGTGGTGCAGTTAGAATACAGTATTGCAGGCAAACTCTGCCAGAGTCTGGAATTTTATCCTGATAGGCTCAAGATTGAGTCAAC